TTTTCGAGACAGGGTTTCTCTGTGTAGCCCTGGCTGTCCTGGAACTCTGTAGACCAGGCTAGCCTCGAACTCTCGAACCCAGAAATCCGCCTGCCTCTGCCTCCCAAGTGCTGGGATTAAAGGCGTGCGCCACCACCGCCCAGCATCTCTACTATTTTTAACAAAAACACAAAGGCAAAGCTATTTTATAATTGCTCTTTTTTTTTTTTGGAGAGAAGGTTTCTTAGTGTAGCACTGGCTGCCCTAAAACTCCCTCTGTAGACAAGATTGGCCTTGAACTCAAAGATTCACCTACCTCTGCCTATTGAGTGCTGGGATTAAAGGTGTGCCCCACCACCAATGTTTTTTTTTGTTTGTTTGTTTGTTTGTTTTTCGAGACAGGGATTCTCTGTATAGCCCTGGCTGTCCTGGAACTCACTCTGTAGACCAGGCTGGCCTCGAACTCAGAAATCCGCCTGCCTCTGCCTCCCAAGTGCTGGGATTAAAGGCATGCACCACCACCACCCAGCAAAACCTTGAATTTTAAAACCTTAAGGTCCTACTTCAATTCCTGAATTATTCATGTGATTAACTAGAAATCAAGACAAACTCCAGTTTCTCATCCCAAGCATTAGCTTTTGTTTCTATTCCCATAGTCTAGCCTCCACTCCAATGACAAATTAACCAGAATAATACTGAAACCTAGTGAATCAGCTACAAACACATCAACAGTGCCTTTGCTGTTGGGCTGTCATAAATGTGTGAAATCATCCTTCCACAATCACTTTATGATTCTGGTAAGAATTTCAGATTTGTTTTTGCATTTGGGATTAATTTGCATTATGTAGTACCAACGAGTAATAATTCCTTAACATGTTAATTGTGGCTTAACTGAGACACTGACTTTATTATAATTTTATTCTCAAACCTAAACAGCCATACTTGTAGAAAGGGCAGATATACTATCACTTTAGAATCACTTCTCCAAAAGCAAAGTTAAATTCTGATGTTCTTTTGTGGGAAACAAGGTCTCACTACTACATATTTCCCAAGTGCTAGGATTAAAGGCGTGCACCACCACTGGCCGGCTTTCAGACTTAGTTTTAATTTGCATATATATATATACATATATACATATATACACATATACACATATACGCATATACATACATACATACATATATATATATATATATGCATATGAATTCTCCAGAGCTGGAGTGACAGGTGCTTGTGAGTCACCATTTGGATGCTGGGAATCAGACTCAGGTCTTCTGCAAGAGCAGTACATCCTCTTAACTGCTGAACCATCTTTCCTACCCCTAAACGAGGCCTCAAGAATGCTAGGCAAGCCCTCTGACACAGCCACAGCTCAGGCCTTTTATGCTTTGAGACAGGGTCTCAGAAAGTTGCTTAGGCTGTTTTTTAACTTGTGATTCTCTTTTTTTAGTGTACCAGATGGCTGGGATTACAGGTGTGTTTAAGTGCATTTGGCTCTTAAATAGATGCTACTTCATAATTGCTTCAAAATTCCACACAACTAGATTTACCTAGGCCTCAGACAAAAGGGTATCTGGAGGACTGTTGCCTTAACAAAACTAAACCATCCTCAGGAGGCAGCTCAGCTCTACTAATGACTGCGTACACCACATTCCATAGAGAGGGTTTAGCAAGAAAATTGTTTTTCCCAAGTTCTTCTTCATGAAAGTGATGAGGCCTCATGAGAAACAGTCTCAATAGAACAACAGCAATAAAAGGGCTAAAAAGCTTATCATCTGTGTTTTAATACAAGAATGCAGACAGCACCACCTTTGGTAGCCATTTTTTTAAGTACATGTAGTGTATTTAGAACTCAGCTGTGTCACATCAGATTGTTGGGAAGTAGATCATGAACATAGTCCAAAAATAACAGCCATTAAAAACCTAGCAACCAAAACATGCTTATGTATTCATTGAAAGCCTGGTGGTTTTGATTATATAATGGAGCGTATAATCTACTAGTCTATTTTAAGTAGATTTTCCTTTTACAGTCCCTTAATATTAAACTACAGGAAGATTTCTGAATTTAAAGATGTATATGGTAGAGTCTACACAGGTCTAGATACAGAAACAAAAGCCAAATTCCCATAGTTCTCTTTGATTGCCTTTTTTTTTCCTCCAGAGCTGAAGCCTGAACCCCCAGAGCCTCGCATAAATGCTTGAACATATATTGAGGTAAATCTCCAACCAATTAAAAAAAAAGATTTAAAAAAGAACATGTATGAATGTTTTGTCTGCACATATGTCTGTGCTCTATATGCACGAAGTTCCTGTGAGGTCAGAAGAGTATGCTGGATCCCTTGGAACTGAGTTATAGACTTTTGTGAGCTGCCATATATGGGTACTCAGAATCAAATCTTGGTCATCTGCAAGATCAACAGTGCTCTTAACCTCTGAGTCAACTGCTTCTTACCACTGATGTTGGAGTCTTCTCTAATAATAGGTCCTAAATCATGCCTTCTCGAGGTTAGACTAACATGGTTCCTTCCTGGGACTTATTTTTTTGTTTCTACCACTTTTGAATAAATAGTTTGAGTCCATAACAAGCAGATTACAAGTAACTCAAAGGCCTCTGGGTGGTTCTAAAATGAAGACTCCTAAGATTTAAGGAAGTAGAATGGTAGTTGGCTTTACCACATTTGTATCTTCTGCTACATTTTCTCTATTTCACATAGCACGAGGTGATCACATGTATCTGTTGAAATCCTACTCCGGAGCTATTTGTTACCAGATCTCAGAAGAAATCTAAAATAGGGACTAAATATAACTGGAGAACTACAATCTTACCTTAAAGAACAATTTCTGATATGCAAAAAAGGTAAAGTCACATTGCTACCAAATCTTTAAATTGGAGCTTTCTATCCTGTTAAGGAGTAATGATGTCCTCAAGTTCCAACTTCCCACTAGTGGAGGAAAAGCTTTCCAAATCTGAGTCAGACATTACAGCTGCAATTCAGAAATATGGGGAAAGGCTCGCAAACAGAGAGAAGTCAAAGTAAAAAGCCCTTACTACTTTCCTTTTCTAGTTCAAAATGAATTTTGAATTTTAAATCTTCACTTTTTTTTTTTTTTTTTTTTAAAGACAGGGTTTCTCTGTATAGTTCTTGCTATCCTGGAACTTGCTCTGTAGACCAGGCTGACCTCAAACTCACAGAGATCTATCTGCTTCAGCCTCCTGAGTATTAAAAGAATGTACCAACACTGCTGGGTATTTTAAAACTTAAATTTTTTTTACTGTTATTTATTATTATTGTGTCTGTGTTTATGATAAGTGTGCAAGTGTGGGTACACACATGCTAGAGTGTGCATATGGAGGTCAGAGGGTAATTTTTAAGAGTCTACTCTCTCTTTTCAACTTCCCAACATGGGATCCGATATCAAACTCAGGTTCTCAGGCTTGTGTGGCAAGTGCTTTTGCCCTTTCAAGGCTTTGGCCCCATCCCACAAAGATTATTTTTCCTCTGCCTCTGGGTGCTGTTTAAATGTGCACTTCCATGTTTGCCTCGCAAAATTTTTTGTTTGTTTGTGAGACAACGTCTCATGTAGCCTGGGCTGGCCAGGAATGGTGGCACACACCTATAAGGTGGATCTTTGTTAATTTGAGGCCAGCCTGGTCTACATAGAGAGCTCCAGGGTAGCCAGGGCTACACAGTGAGATCTTGTCTTAAAAAAAAAAAAGTCAAATATGAGAAAAATAAACTCACCCAAAATTCAGATTTTTCAAACAGTACAGCGTATTACTATGTATCAGCTGCAGAGTCACAACACATAGCATTATAAAATTCTTACACACAAATTTAAAGGGATCATTTTACATGCCTACTTTAATAATGCTTTTGAAAATAGAAACATACCTATACATATTAAAAAATTTTAACAGGGAAGAAAATATACCCTAGCATCCTGAATCCTGCAGGAAATAATGATTTTGTTTAAGTGTCTTACCAGAGATTTTCAGCATTTATTGAACTATGGGATCGTCTTCCTATTTCTTGTACCATCACCATCTCATCTACCTCTCAAATTCCAATTCCTAGACATGTCTAGACTTCACTCTTCTTGTTTAAGTATTTACAATACATAATAGAACCAATCTGCAATCTCACATACCACCAGTAAGTGTCACTGGACAGTTACATGACCTATTCCTAACTGATTATAGTTCAGGTTCTATAAAATGAAGGCAAATAAAACTTTAATTAATTTTTTCTCATCATTTATAAAAGCATTAGAAAAAAATCTAGGGAAAAAGTTAAATATAAAATGAAAAACGAGGCAATTTCAACAGAATTATTTTATAAAAAAGAAGCATATGAAACACATTTGACATATAATACACAGACATGCAAACAGTTACATAGGAGCTGACATGTAGAGCAACTTATGTCACAGTATCAGATAGGGGAAATGTTTATAGAATACTATTGGATCTCAAGTTCTATGTTGGGTTTGTCTGTTCCTGCCTTAGCTGTTAGCACAATTTTTCTGGATCAACAATCAAAAGAAACATTTCTTTTTCTTATGTGAGAAATCTACAGAGACAGTGAAATTGAAGGATTACAATGAATGAGAACATTCTTACCTGACTCTCTAAATATGTTAAGCAGACTTTTATGTACATAAAGGGCAAGAAGGTATTTCTAAACGTGCTTTGCATTTAGATGGACAGCTTTGAAGAGGAAGAGAGAGTAACATGTATTGTTTAACACTGTGTGGTGAGAAACAAACATCAGTAGAATAACAAGATGGAAGAAAGCAAGGCAGATTTCATTACAGTGGAGTGCCTACACTTCCTCATAACTTGGATTTACACGCTGCAAATCCTGTGATCTGATTACCTCCAGTGATCACGTAAAATACCGGCTTTAAACTCTTTGCCTTAGTGATAAAACAGCCACTTTGATTCACAACAAGACATTCACAATAAAGTATATTGTAAACGTACCTGTCCACAGCCCGGGGCACTGCACACAAACGGTCTGTCGTCTCCCATATTTCATAAAGCAGAGCAGAGCTGGGGAGGGGAGTAGGGGAAAAGTTATGTTAAATACGCTGGTGAAAAAAAAATGTGCTTCAAAAATATCAAGCCTAGAAACAGGTGTTCCAAGAATGCCATCTATCATAGCTGTAAACACAGGCTACTTTGGAGAGACCCATTAGACAGGTGGCATATGATCTACTATGCCTCTATTGAAACTTTTAATTAGGAAAATTCAGACTTAAATAGTCAAGGAATTTTAAGCCTTTGCTGGGTTTTCCCTCTTTCTGCTACAGTATATAACATATTTCTCCAGTCTTCTGAATTACAACCAGTGCAGCTCTCTATGTCAATAAATTCACTGAACGCTCGATGCGGAAGCCATATTTCTGAACTAGAGAAGACCAAAATTTGTCATTTAATTAATTAAGGGATTATAGGAGGGGTGCTCCATTTTACAGGGCTATAATCTGGCTCCCTGGTGTATAAACTACGAGACTGTTGGCAAGGGTCGTTTATCCCAGATTATTGCCAAAGAAAACAAAGCACCCATCCTATTGAACTACATGGGAAATGATTTTCATTAATAAAAAAATAAAAATAAAAACTTCCCCTCCCTGCTGAGAGCCTCCTTCTCATCCCCTCCCCCAGCAATTGTCTGTTGCAAATGAAGAAATATCAATGCCCCTCCCCCTCTGATTCTATTTATGGCTAGGTTTTTAAAAGCAGCAATAAAACAAATGTCGACTCTTTGGGGGTTTACCGGGTGAATATGTTCCGGCTGTTTGTGCTGCTCTCGGCCAGAGAGCTTGTGCTGTTCTGCTGTAGCCAACAGATGTGTACTGCTGCAGGGGATAAAGAAATGCACTTAAAAGCACCACCATCCATCCCCTCTATTTCTCTGAAGAATTTAACAGAATTTATATTGCTTTTTTAAATGACTCTTAAAATGTCTCCCAAAATTCTTCGTCAAAAACAACAAATGCAATCTGAATGTATTGAGAAAATTTCTCATATTTCAACTAAAAATACAAACCGGGCAGAGATGAATAATAATAGTTAGAAATGGAAACCACAGTAAAAATATCCCTAAAAGATAAACAGTATTTTGGAAAAGTCAAAGAGAAAACTGGGAGGAAGAATAACAGTAGTCTTATAGAACAAGGTGCTAAGGACATTTTCATACAACCATCCACAACATAGAACAATTCATAAAAGGATGTGAATGAGGGAAGGTAAGTGAGAGACGACTGTTGGAATATGTCTGCAAACAACCTCAGAACTGTAACCAAATCTCAAATTTTATATTGGAGATAAACCAAAATGTCAGGTCAATCTCAGTCAGACCTGTGTTAAAATAAAATGTTAACATGCTAGAATGAATCTAGTAACCAGAAAACCATGCTTAAAATAGAGGGCAACGAGGTAATAGTCTTCCTATTCTCTTAGGATTTATTTTTAGGTTAGAAACCAGTATTTCTGGTTGTCTAATCAGTAATTCCACAGCTAATCGGTGTTTAAAAGTGTGAGGTGCCCCATAAAATAGAAGGGGCTGCTTGGTCATCTTTCAATGTGATAGGAACATGGTCTAACTATGAAGAAAACTGATGCTTCAGCCCTGCTGTAATGGAATAGACTCTGTATGTACATACGTATACACAGATTTATATCACAGTTAGCCAGGATAAATTGCTTCAATAAATTCTGTTCCTAGGAGAGGCCAGCTCAAGCTGCTGATTGGGTACTGGGAAATGAGAGCTTCATTCTTCCTCACATAGCCCCAGGACAACAAGGTTTTCTGGATTGTTTGTTTGTTTTAAATACATTTTTTAAAAACAAATTATTTTTTAGTACTTTCTAGAACCACAACACAGTATCAAAAAATAGGTAAATAAAAGCAAATAAATATAAAAACTATGGTGATTATGGCTGAAAACTCAGATATCTCTGAAAAGCAAATCATTCATCCATGGGAATCCTTAACTGCTGTGCCACAGACAATTTCACTTCTAGCTTCAAAGCTTGTTTTCCTAACATATCATAAGACCAGAACTTGGCTTTCAGGGTTTCCTATCAAGATAGAAGTGGACACAATAATAAGGGAGAAGTCCTCTCTTTTATATTGATTCTAGCACTTAGGATGAAATTTTCTCCTTTAATGATAATCAGAAGAAAGAGTTCTTTATGGTAAGATGGGGGAGTAGAAAGTGATTATATAAATTTGAGACAATTTTCCTCAAGCCACAAATTTCAGACTTTTAAAAAATGAGGATAATTATAATTTGGAATCTCTAGTAAGAATATGATATGAAAATAAAATTGTGCCTTATTAAAAAAGAAAAGGAAGAGTTTGGGAGAAAAAGCATTGAAATCTAACAGAAGTAAGCTTTCCATTGGTCTTGAATGTTAAACTGGCAGCCACTAATAGGATTTCCTGCTTCCGTCCCAATTTGTAAGCCTTTGTTTTAACCATTTTTACCAAACAGAGATCACAATGGGAGGAAGAAGTCTTTCTTAAATTTAAATGCCTAGTTACACTTAAATCATCCCGTTATTCTAGTGTCTCTTGTCATTTCCATCACTTCTGCATTCAAGAAAATTTAATTACTGAACAATAAGAACAATCTTTCTCCCCATTTAAAAAATTCCACTTGCACCTTTTTAATTATTCCTTCGTTCTCCATCTGCTACATCTGTGACACACAAAGAATGCTTCTGGTTATTTCTAGGTGAAAAAGAAAAAACAACACACTTCTATCACAAAAAGGGAAACAAAAAATGAAATCTTGAATGATGTTGCTGCCACTCAATGTGAATTTAACTCATTGCTCATCTGTAACTCTACTGTTTGACAAGCAGACCATGTGTCTAGGAATGACACCGTTTGCTGTCTCCTTTCCTGATCAACTTTCGAGGATAAAATGTAAGAACTTTATAGGACTAAACAATAAATGATGAGAGGAATATACAAATTAAGAGATACTATCAAGATTAAGTGAGATGCTTTTTGAAAGGATCTTAGGAAAAAAAAAACAAAGATGCATTAGAAGGTTGTCCTTAGAGACCCATGTCTACAGGGAAAAAGGCTCTTGTATTCAGAGCAACCAGGACGCATAGCAACCAGGACGCATAAATGATAGTTAGGATCTGCCTGAAAGTGAAACTCATATGAATGCTGGGAGAAAAGAAAACTCAGGGTTTAGGACCAGTGAGATTGTTCAGCAAATAGAAGCATTTGATCTGAACTCAATCCCTAAATTCCAAGGTAGACAGAAAAAAACAACTTCTGAGAGCTGTCTTCTGATTACCATATGCAGAGCATGGACGTGCTAATAAAAATACTTAAAAAAAAAAACCAACCCTGGTTTAGAGAATTACATTTTTATAATATTTTATTTATTTGCATGTGTGTGTGTGTGTGTTTGTATGTTAGTACAATTGCCCTCAGAGACCAGCGGTATTAAGATTCCTCCGTAGGTGGAGGGACAGTCAGTTGTGAGCCACACAGCATGGGTGCTAGGATCTTTACATAGTAAAATGTTTGTCCTAGTAATATTTATGATTAAAAAAAGAATAGGAATTAAGTGCTGAAGAAAAATATAAATTAAGGTGCTGCATTACAACAGAGTATTTTTTTTTTTTTTTTTTTTTTTTTGGTTTTTCAAGACAGGGTTTCTCTGTGTAGCCCTGGCTGTCCTGGAACTCACTCTGTAGACCAGGCTAGCCTTGAACTCTCAAACTCAGAAATCCGCCTGCCTCTGCCTCCCAAGTGCTGGGATTAAAGGCGTGCGCCACCACCGCCTGGCCAGAGTATATTTAAGGTGTTAAAAATAACATTTTCAAAACTACTTAATGACATGAGAAAACAATACTCATTAAATAAAAAAAATAATATAAAATTATGGGGCCAGGGAGATGGCTCAGCAGGGACAGTGCTTGTCACACAAGGCTGACAACCCTGGAGTTCAATCCCTGGAATCCATGTAAGAAGAAGGGTAGCATGCATCTATAATCCTATCCTACTATAAGATGGAAGGCAAAAACAGAAGAACCTACCAGACTTGCTCAAAGGCCAGCTAGCCTGGAGGACACAGATTCAACAAAAGAGACTCAGCCTCACCAAGGTGGAAGGCAAACCCTGACTCTGGGAAGGACACACTCTGACTTCCCATAGGTAGGAATGCTGTGGCATGCAAGTGCTGGCACTCACATATATACACAACATGAATAAAAATTTAGATAGATAAAATTTCACATGCACTCTAATTCCAAATCTGTAAAAAGAAGCAAGCATAATTTTAAAAAATTTAAAAAAGATAAATGATGAGAATTGGAAAGATGGCTCAGTCGATAAGCACACTTGTTTGCAGAGGTCCTGGGTTCAGTTCCCAGCACCTACATGCCACCTCACAACCATCCATAACCCTAGCTCCAAGCGTCTGACACCTTCAGAATTCCTCAGGCACTAGGCATGCATGCACATGGTACACATACATACACACGGGGAAAACACTCATTCATATAAAATAAACAATTCTTAAAAAGAAGACGAAGAAATTAATACCAAAATGAATACAAAATGAATAATCATTATGTCTAAGACAACTGTATTCTAGTTTACTTTACTTTCTTCTTTGTACTTTAGTATTCTCAAGTCTATAGTGATCAGAAATTTTTTTTACTAAATCAAAAATAAAATGTATGAGCTAGCCATACAAGTGCTTGCCATACAAGCCTGATAACTTTTTTGAGTTTGAAGCCTGGAACCCACATAAAGGTGGAAGGAGAAAATTAACTTCTTAATATTGTTCTCAGACTTCTACATGTGTACCATGGCATATGTGCCCCTCAACATATATCATATATACACACAATAATGATAAGTGAAATAAATTTACATGCATATAATGTAACCTGAGAAAAGAGTGCTGACCTGTATGACTGGGGGAAAAATGTCTTTGAGTTAAAAAAAGAAAAAAAGCCTGTACTTTTTAAACTATTCTTAAGCACTGAAAAGTAAATTAAAGAGTCATATA